TGTTCTTCCAACGGGCGGGTCTTGTTCATCGACTTAGGATATTGATTATCTGAATCGACACCTTGCCTCCCCATGTCTCACTCTCTGACCTGTACCGCTCACCAGCCTCTCTCCTTACGCTCGGGGTTGGCGGTCATTGTAACGATTGGGCTTCTCTCTGGCTCGGCCTTGGGTATTACAGGGTGGGTAGCCGCTAATAAATTGAGTAGGTAAGCGCTCGTGATTTGAACGTCCTTTTAATTACACCTCTGCAGACGCCCAATTTTCCGACACGGAAAGACTCGCATTGAGCCTCCACGTACTCGTTTACCTCCTGCTGGTCATTTTTTCGGCGGTCGGGTATGTCAACCCACGATTTTAGCGACTCTAATTAATTATTTGCGCACTCCAAGGCTATATAGCACCTTATTCAAGCGCCGAAAGGCGGTCCAGGTCTTCGTCTCGATGCTTTTCGTGCAGCTTCTGTTCGGCCTGGGATCCGGGATTTTTCTGCTGTATCTTCTGTTCCAGAAACAGTCCTCGGAGACCATCCAAAATTGCTTGACCAATGTCCATGGCTCGTTCGGAAAACAGCTGTGCGAGCGGTCCCCTGTGTTGAGAGGTGTCGCTCTTCTTGTGGTTATCTGCTTCGTCGAAATACGTGCGTAATTTCGCGATACAAGATCTCCGTGTTATTTACATGAACTTCTGTTAGTTGGCCTCATTCTTGGGAACGCGTACTCTTCGCAATTGCGGGAGGCAGAGACAGAGGAGAAAATGAACAACCCCGACGATGAAGCCTACTGGGAGGCATGATGGTACGGATCGGAGTTTAATGACAATTATGAGAATGGAAATGGGCATAACGATTACAAGTTGGAGTGATTGAGGCTCGAGAAGACGACAACTCGAAGTAACGCATGTTGATTTGGGCTCCGGCAAGTCTTGCTGGCACGAATTCTGAAAACAAGGTATAGTATATCGCCAATCGAATTCGTTTTGCTGGCGGTGTAACAGAACTATACTCGAACCCTGACAAAATCTGGCGTTTTCACAGGCACGTGAGCAAGTCGCGACTCTAGATCAGCCAAGCAGGGACAAGCAATTTAGGATCACAACCTGGAGGAATTATGAGACACAAATTCGGAGAGGGTGAAAGGATACTTACGCAGTGACCCCAGCAGTTTCGATGGGGAGGCCAAGCATCAAGAGACCCGTGAACACGAAGATTCCCGCGCTGGCGTAGACCGGACTATTATGAAACAAGTCAAACATCTACGCCCCGAGCGTGAGCTGTGAAAACACTTACCCGTTGGGAGTCTTCCCGGCGTTGCTGTAGACCGCGATGACTGTGAACGGTGCGTTAGATTCGCATAATATAATTGCTGCTCTGAACACTGACCCGGAGCGAAGAGACCAGTAACCCGGCTCGCGGATGCAGCCAGGGCGTCGCCCGTCCCGCGACGAGGTGTCGGGAATACTTCCGGGGCATACCCGTACAGCACCTGTCAAGATTAACAAATTGATTTCTTTGTGCAGAGGCAAAATAAATACCCCATAGAACGCGTTCTCCCAGAAACTCGCGATCGAAACCAGGGCGTTTACCTGGACCGAGGTTCTTGCGGCGCTAATCAGAGAATAATGAGCAGACGAGCTTTTGATTGTGAGGCTGGACCTACGTTAAGGCGAAGAGGAAAACGCCGGACATGACGGTGAAGAATCTGAACACACGTTCAGTTATACACTACTGAAGACTGCGGTGCGGACTGACGCCATAGAATATTTGCGGCCGGTGCGGGACCATTGAACCATGACTGCGGCGAGCATTGATCCACCGACACCGCACGCGGCTTGGTAGGTGTAGGCGGCTGAATGAACATGCTAAGCGGTCGAATCTCATGGATGAAATGTATATGACCTACAATATGTAGCGTCAATCCCAGTCGCACCGGTGTCTGTTTCGCGGCTCGACAGATAGCTTCCACTGCATTCGAACCAGATTAGCGAATAATTTGGTTCAAGATAGTAAGGCTCACAGAAAAGCGTTGAACAGGGGATATGCAAGCCCGAGAGCACCATCTGAAGTGGAAATCGTCGGTACATCGTCGACGGACTGATAGAGGGGTCTCACAAATAAAAATAATTAACCCGGACGAATAGGCCAGGCGCGGGGTGCAGAAGAGTCCTTTGATATTCTCGCCGGTGACATCGTCACTGGAAGCAGATAGTTTCAGTTTCTCCATAGACTGAATCGTACAGACATAAACTCACAGGCTGTTGCGGATGAGGCCCCAGGTGGAGAAGCGCGTGACGAGGGCACCTGCACCAGAATCCTGGCCCGGTTCAAGGTACGGCGACGCGGCGTTGTAAAGGTCCTGAACAGTTAATTTTGTGGTTGTTTTGTTCTTCTTAGCGATGCGGTGAATTACATCGACGGCATCCTGATCGCGCCCGATGCCTGAATTAAATAAGGAAATATGTTGCGTCTATTGCGATCGAGGGGCACTCACTGACGAGGAACTTGGGTGACTCGTCCATGGGGAAGATGAAAACTCGAAGGATGGCTAGGAATAGCATCATCGTGCCCATTGTGTAGTAGGAATCTGCGGAAGAACCGTGAGCGTGAGACGTCAGTCTATGACTAAGAAAAATGACAAGTACTCACACCGCCACCCGTTATTATTGCTATTGTCGCATTGGTAGAAGCTCCCGTCATGAAGGACGAGCACACCGACGAGCGACGTGTCACACGAGAATCTGTGTAAGTGTCAAAAATGCCACTTGGACTTGGAAGGTTCAACTAACTTGGCCAAGAATACCCAGGAAATGAGCGATGCAACGACCTGACCTACCGCCCACCAAAGGGAGAGCAGAGTGAGAAGGTACTGGTTCTTTCCGGGGAGGAACTCGAGGAAGAGGGCTCCATCAACGGGAAGATTTCCGCCCACACCGAATCCTGGCACTCATTAGCAGTGCATTTATCTTGCAGAAGAGGATGAACATACCAATGCATGCAAGGAGAGCTTGAAAGATAATAAGCGGATCGAAAAATGAAATTTAACATGACAATACACACCGCACAGAGTCAGGAAATTCGGTGCCGCGCCGGCACTTGCAAAATGAAATATGAACACGAGGAATCGAACCAGAAAAACAAATATACGCACGCAACTCCAAAAATTCCGGAGATGAACAGAGTTGCATTCCACGCAGTGCGCCTACCGATCACGTCGCATGTCATACCCCAAAAGGCCGCCTTGGACGTGTGAGCCATCCATGATCGGGAGAAAGAGACAAATATTTACACCAACAATCAAGCCACAGTAAAGGGCAAAGGTTGCCATGCGGATGTTGCTTGAGTAGTTGGGGAAGTTGTGCTGGGTCACTTGGTTGGATTTCGGCTAATTGACTGGTGTGAAAAATGGCGCACTTGGTTGGCAATGGCAGGCATCAAGATGGCTATAGCTTGAAGCCATATATCTGACAGCGCGTCAATAAGAAAACGGGGAGGAGGAACGGTGAAGGTCTCTCACTATCGGCGAACCAACTAGAGATTGGGAGAGGTGGTCACCAGACGAAACAAAAAAAAAATTGGTTATCCACGAACCCGAAGCCTGAAGAAACCAGAAATTAGCAACCCGTTGGGCAAAACAAAACAAAAACCAGGCGCACCAGCACTGAAAAATAACTCCCACTACAGATGCGAATCAGTCACAAGATTGCAATAGCGTAAAGGGCGGGTCGGGTCCAGAGATGCGCCGCGGGGTTTTGGAACATTCCATTCCACGCGACGTTTCATATCCCGCTCCACTACCGCCGCGTGGAACGGGCACACACCTGATATCTGGGTCGAGGGTCAGCCGTGGACCATGCAAAGTAATGTCTAGCACATACCGGCCCATCCCGCAGTCAGAGATGGCCTCGTTCAGAACCTTGACCCTAAAAACCGCAGCTGGTCAAACAACTTCGCGCTTGGATACATCGCGTCGACGCACTTGGCTAGAAATATGGGTTTGATGCCCTCTTGGTGGGCTTTATCTATCAGCGCTTGGACACTGCTGTCGTCGCCGGTTTTCTCGTCGCCAGTGGCGATATCGTCGACTTTCTCGTGAGAATGGTCCATCGTGGTTGGGACTGAGAGATGGTCTGAGATGGTAAGAAAGAGAAAAGACGGCCCCACTGCACCAAGCGATCAATTTCTCGGACCGACCTTCGGTTCACAATCGACGCACGTTTTACCAAATGGTAGGATGCCAAAACGGGGACATGCCGCATCTGGCACCTTGTGATGGTTCAAACGTTCAAATCCCGTTCTATAATAAGACGGGAACAATTTCCATCGCTTGTTCCGAAGCTGAATATTTCACTTTCGACTTTAAGTTCGAGGGCATCCAGGACCAAAGGACTGTGACGCGTTCTGCCCCGCGCGGCGGCCGAAGGTGCCCGCCTTCACTTCCTTCGCCACCTACGCGAGCCCATCAGTACATCATGATAATCGAAAGACCGTAGTATGTACCTTGCCTTGCCGTTCTTACCTCTTCGAACACTTCGAACTCACCTACAGGCCATATTGGTTTCCGAGATAAGGTCCGATGCTCGTCAATACTTTTTGCTGGAAAGTGAATCAAGGCACGTTTGATTAGACCCGTGCCCGATTGAATTCTTTGTATTGGTACCGGTAGAAGTTCGCCATGGACGCATCGTGTGCCACTCAATTAACGCCAGTGAGCCGTAATCCCGTATTCATGTGGCAGAGGCGTATTGCGTAGATATGCGTTGTCGTCGGCATAGACGCTAGTAGTTCCAGTCGATGGCTCACCATTGGCTCACAGCTGGCAGCAAATCCGCGCTCTAGTAGTGGGGATAAGACAAGATTGAGATAAGACGCTCGGACCTGACATCAGTGATTTCTTTTGTGGTGAAAAACAAGGTGAAAAAAGTGTCAATGATCGCACCGGCAGCCGCGGAGATAGAAACAATCTGAATACTGACATATAAGCCTCTTCAACTGCTTCTTCCATGGGCGTATGGTGTAGTGGTATCACTCATGCTTTGCAGTATGAATTGATCTTTGTGATTAACCATCATTTCTTTGTATGCGGTCCAGGGTTCAAACCCCTGTGCGTCCAACTCTTTTTGCTGTTTTGCTGTTTTGTTGGCAAAATTCTGGGTTTCCCTTCTTTTAACTTAATTGAGCACCTTTTTTAGTTTTTTTCAAAGTCGGGCATCTCCCCGTTACATAAGAAAAAATCCGCTTGCCAAGCCATGATGCATCTGCCATTCATAAGGCCTTCCAGGCAGGTGTTCATGTACTTCCTCTGTCCTGATGTATACCTTCCATTGTTTCAAAATTCAGACTCGGATAACTCACTCACGAGTCTTAGCCTACTCGCCTCTCTCGCTCGCAGTAGGCAATTGGAAGTAGGTATATGAGGATAATACATATCGAGTCCAGGTATCATATCAGAGTGCCAATGATTAAAGGTGCTCACATTATTCGTGGAGGGGATCTGGCAAGCTCTGATTCACACCATGTGAGGTAGTAAGTATGATGTGATTGTGTCCTGTATTATGGAACCCAAGTTTCTGAATTAACGATTCTGAGAGTCCAGAAAGGGAATGGTCTAGACCATGGGTTTCCGCGCCATCAGTTTTTGCCGGTGGACCTCCCTATGCCAAGAATTCCTCCAATGAGGATGTCAGGGAGATTCAGTCATTGGTACCACTAACCACAAACACATCTCAGATCACAACATCTGTCAAATGACTCCGTTGTGTCTTCTATGCGGGGGCACATTCACTTGGGCCACAAAATGCATCTGTGGGATTTTAATCTCTTCAACAAGTTTCAGCACTTTGGCCGGCCATCTTCCTTACCATTTGGTTTGATGTTCCCTTCCCGCCTACACTTACTCATTTCGTGAGAAGATTTCTTTGTATTTCTGTCGTATCGTTCGAGCGGTAGATGGCTGTAGCATACATTAGGCTGATGTATGTAGGTACAGCATCCATATGTTCCTCAACGGAACCACTGCAGTTAATGCATTCCTCCTCCTCCTCCTCCTCCACCTGACAGCCATATATCACCATATCAAGCAATATATGGCCAGATATGCCAACAAAGATTTTTCCGGCATGAGATAAGGCTCTGCTACTGAGAATCATGCCAACCCCGTAACGTGAGGGTGGGGGGAGACTGGTCAGAAGCCCTCAGGAAGAGCTAGAATTCATTTTTGTAAGTCGGCTCGAACCCTCGTACAGACCTCCAAACTCAAACTTTTTTTTTCTATTAGTTATGAAATTTGCAATAACTTATTTGAGCTTCAAACCCAGTTCGTTTTACCTTTTTTACTTGACAAAGTCGGGCCTTTCCCCGTTACATAAGAATGAATCAGTCATCCGCCATTTGATTCACTGCGTTCAGCAGGTTGATAGCCGGGGGGGCTGAACGCTCTGGCTATCTATAGTTCAGCTGTTGATTTTCGTCTAACCTTGGTCTAACCAGGGTTCTATAGCCGCATTGGTTGTGAGGCCACGGTTGTTCAAATAGCCGTGCTGCGGGTAGCCTCGGGTAGCCCGTCCGCCGAACCGAACCCTGCCAAACGCCCGCTACTTGACGCTAGGCGACCGGCAGCCCTAGCCGCACGTGGGGTAGACCGACTGGCAGCGGCTAGCCGGCATCTAACCAGCACCTCTAGCCAACCTCTAGCTATCTCTGGATAGGTGGTGCTGTGGCTATCCACTCCCTTAACGCAGTGATTATTCCTCCAATGAGGATGTCAGGAAGATTCAGTCAAACCTAAGGTTGCTGTAATGTGGATGCCTGTGTCGTCGTTAATGGACAACGGGGTAGATGTAACAGGAATACAGCAAAACAAAGCCTCTAATTAATTTACAACTACATGTGTAATGTTTACCTGATTAACTCGGACGAGGCGTAGTCGGGAAATCGCCCTCAAAAACAGTGGGTATCTCTTCGGGACTCTCCTCCACCGTCTTCATGGCATCCGCTTCGTGTCCGCCCTCAAACTCTCGCTCTATATCGGGCACATCGCCAAGCCACTCATGCAGCACCAGCTCGCCAGCGCTCATGCGCCCCTGTGGATCCAGCTGTAGCATGGGAAGCAAGAAGTCCGCCATGGCGGTCGCTTCGGGTGGCGGGAAAAGGTACTTGTCGTGGAGAACCGACGAGAGCGGCCACGGGCGCAGGTTCTGGATGTGTAGGAGCTTGCCTAGGTTCATGGTAGGTGAACTAGGTAAACGCGTAAGATGAGGGCAGAAGCTTACCCGCTGGATTGAAGAACTCTCCACTCCACCGCCCGGACTTCAATACGTGCGCTGGGAGGTCCCCGAGCAGCTCGATTATCTGGGCCATATGGTCGTCATCCTTCGTATATCGAGGCTTTCCCCCAGCACCTTTCGGCGCTGGAGCCGGGTCGAAGAGGTAGTCTCCACCGGTTATCAGCTCGAATAGCTGATGAAAATCCGTAAACGCTTGCTCGGAATAAATGTTAAACGGGACGTACCACACAGGCGACACTCCATATATCTGCACTCGTCCCCCACGTCGTAGAGCCAACGATAACCTCGGGGCAGCGGTACTGCCGCGTTTGGATGTCGTTTGTAAAATGATGATTCGTCCATGTCGCTGAGGAGCCGTAAGGAAAATCGCGAGAGCGGAAACAATCAGATGCGGGAATTGGTCAATGGCTGGAGGCAAAGGCTAACCGTTCCCCAAATCCGCGATCTTCACCGTGATCATCTCGTATTCATCCTCTGCATCCACTTCTTCCACCCACCCCTCCTCGCCCTCCGTCTTCTCGTTGTGCCCCGCGGCCCCGCGACTTCCCGGACGATCCAGATCGAGCGCGAGCGGTTGAGGCGGAGGGGTGGGGGTATGCGCCGTACTCGTGGATGCGGGTGCGGATCGCGACATCGGCGCGTTGGGTCCCACATCTCTCTCCTTGCCCTTGCCTTTCGCCGCATCCTCATCAGAAATTTTAAGCATCCCAAGCCCCCATGTATCTCCTGTCGTCTTGGCTCTCCCGACACTGCCGGTGGACAGAGAGGAGAGGCTGACGGAACTCCCCGTGGGACTAGAACTGGGGAGCGGCTGGCTGCCCGTTATGTTGACGTTGATTTGGTGATGGCGGGGCCCTGGGGTCAGGTTGCCCCCTCGGCCAGTGGACGCAGGCACGCCCGTAAGTTTCTGCATCGTCGGCTGATGTGGTGGAATCTGATGTGGGGCGGGCGGGGAGGTGGATTGGAGCGTCAGCTCGGACTGGATGACTGCCTCCACATCCGGGATATAGATGAGAAGGTTTTCGGGTTTTAGATCTGAAAGACGCAATGTAATGGAGGAGCGGATACGTATCGAGGAAGGTCGCACCAGTATGTATAACATCGCAACAACGGTGCATGTAGTCAAGACCCAACAGGACCTGTTTTGCTATCTGCTTTACGAGCGGGATGGGGACACCTTTATTCTACACCAAGAGGCATCGCTGTCAGCATTCTTCGAGGGCACGACTGGACGTACCTGGTGCCTCTTAATTAAACCTAGAAGACTCTCGCCCAAAACCTCAAAGACCATGCACACATGCGTCCCGTTGGGTCCCTTGTGTCTGAAGTGGTCAAGGAAAGATATAACATGAGATCTCCCTGGATGCGAATTTGGAGTGTTGGGATCGGAAGACGTCACTAAGCGCTGGAGAAGCTTTATCTCATCCACCGCCGTCTCGGTATACCGGGGGGCAGATTTAACGACTTTGAGCGCAACATGCCTCTGCATTCTACACATGTCAAATCACCGCGCCCGCGTCCGAGAACAAGGAAACAACGCACTTGTCGTCGCGTGCCAGCCAGACGGTGGAAAAGTGCCCCCATCCGAGTTTCCTGACGACGACATATCGGTTGTTGGAGAAGGAGTCCCCTATCGAGACGGGGTGGTAGCCGCCAGGTTTGTACTCCTGCCAGTCCTCCTCTTCTTCAGCCATAGGGGCAGTAAAACCAGAGCAGAGAGCAGGCTGTTATCTTTACCTTATCTCCTTGTTCCTGCCGGCAGTTCAACCATCAAACAACGATTATCCAATTTGTCCTTTTCCATGGATGGCAGCGAATAAAGCAGATAGGGAGGGTTCTGCGCACGTAGAACAATCCCAAAGCCGAGTCTGGAGGTCAAAGCGCATTATATTGTCTATTTCTTTACCTTTACCGCCCAGGCGGCAAGAAGCGGCAAGACTGGCATCATGTTCTTGGAATGATTGAGGTGTCGTTATGTTCTGCTTCCGTGATCAGATCACTGAAATCACGGAGTTAGTCCGACCCAGTGGTATTCGTTCGAATCACAATCAAACCGGGTTCTCGCCTTCGAGAAGAAGAGGAAAAACTTACGAAACCGGTTGCACTTTGAAATGTGTGGCTCTCGGAAATCCGTGGAAGTTGAACGACTCGGAACTGTGGGTAACAGCTCTTGAATGTGGCGCCGACCTCAATTCAACAATGAACATTTCGGGAGTCAGAGGAAATAATTCTCACCATCATAGTTCGCAGGCGGGGCAGAATTTGAGAGAGACATCTTATCCGGCTACCAGCGAAAAAAAAGGTACACCGACCTCGAGGCGCTCGTGAACTTGGTAGGATAGTCATGGTGAATTGCGGGATGGACATACATGACAGATTTAATGAACGGTTTCGGGATGGGACGTGCGCATATCGGTCTCTGCCACCTGCTTTTGAACACAAACTGCATATCCAAGACCACTAAATAGACGCATTTATAGGATAAATCGGGAAAACACGCACATTCAAAAAAGGAATGGGCGGCATGACCGATGCTGCTCGCGGTTGATTTATAAAGGTTGGTATCGCAACTTGCTATCCCTCAATTTTTGCATTGGGGAGAGGTAGAGGCCCTAGCGTCCATTGAACTCTTGGTATTTAGTGTCACCGAGATATTAACTGAAATGCCTGCTTAACAAAACACGATCAGCGTTCAACTCGAGCTTCCCGCCTTAAAAGACCGAGTTTGACGAGCAAAAATGAAGGCTTTTCGAGACTAGTAAATCCTAAAAGAGTCAATGAAGGCAACAATAAAAATCGGTGATGGCTTTACCGTGCAGTAGATTGT